GGTAGATGAGGGATGCATCAGTTTTGCGGTAGTAATACTTATTTTCGATTACCATTTATTTTCAGAGCTGTTTCTTTCAAAATAAATACATGCATTCTTACAAAATCAATATTTGTGTCTTTTTATTTTGGTTACCGGTATTTTAATATTCCTGATAGTTCATCAGATCATAGATACCCGTAATATTGCATTGCTACCAAAATGTGCACCTAGGAGCCCAGATTTTCAGCTTTAGAATAAAATGTCCATTTTATATAAGAACTTATAATTTTATGGATTTAAAATCATTTGGGACCAGTTTTGCATACCAGAATTCATGTTTCCTAGACTGGTTTTAGATGGGCACAGGATTGTAGTATAAAAGAAAAAACAAATTTTCTTACAGTCATAAAACGCCTCAATTCGGAGATAGTGAACTCTTAAAGATTAGTTTCCTTATATACTTTTTTCGTTAATCTGAGAGAGTAAAATATATAACCCATTCCAAAACAATATACTCTTCAAAGGTCAAAGTTTTGCCTCTTATGCACAGATCTATCACACTCCACAATTTTTACTTTTTTGCATGCCTAATTTTGTAGATTTTTGGTACAGAACCGTTGGAAATTCTTTGAAATTTGATTCTCTGCAAGCTTATGGATGGACGAGTTTTCAGAATTTGGAGCGCAGGAATAATTATGCAAACCGCAATCTCTATTGCATATAATGTCATCCAGCCTTCTTCCAAATTTCCACTACGTATCAGTAGAATATCAGGTTAAACTCTGTATGTAGTTTGATTTCAACGGTATTCGTTTACTATGTAGTTGCTATCAATATTAAAGCAGCTAAGTTCTCTGACACTAAAAACTGATTAACAGTAATAACTACCAGTAATTAACGGAAATGTTTACCCAAGCAGGTTACTTTTTCGTAATCATAATAAATAAACTATTAAAAAAGACTTATGTTTCGAAAAATTAAACCAACGTCTGCCAGGCAGGATACGCCCACATTTTGCAAGAGATGGATAGAGAACAAGCTAAACAAAAAGTGATTTTTCGAACAATCAAGGGTCATAATTCTGGAAGTTACGATCCGATATGCGCAAATATCAAAAGTAACCAAGATCTTTGGGTTATAAAGACATATTTCAAGTTTCATCAAAATCAGAACAAAATTGTGACTTCTAGAGGGTCCACAACATTGATATACCATATATTTACACTATTTGTGTATGAGGGGTGGCCATTTTGACCGACAGTTTTGGTCCGATTTTCACGAATTTCAAACTCAACCATCATTAGGGTGTAACAGTGATGTACTAAAACGTTTTTTTAAATCGGATAAAATCTGTGACCACAATCTTACTAATGTAAACAACATACATATATTTCAAAACTATCAGATGATAAATGTAGTCTGTGAGTGTTCACTAGAAATTGTTAACACCAGACAATACACAACCACATTTCCATATAGGCTTACAAAAAGTCATTCAAATGATAACTTTGATCTCTAACCCTATTCCCAAACTTACTGAGAGTTTTTTGGATTGAACTTTGTTGAAAATTTATTGTTATAATCCTGTATCACTAATACTTTATCGCCTTCTGAAATTTTACTATTTCACACACGTCGTTTCAATTCGCCATACGTATCCTTCCCTTTTCTTTGAGTTGAATGTCTCAATTGCATATTTCATAATTCCTGTAGTTCTGGTAATTTGGTAAAATTTTTGTAGTTCTGGTGATTTGGTATTTGGTACAAATATATCTCTGACTTTTACTTGTTGTATTATGGGCCATATTTCTGAACATTATAATACAATGTCAAGACATACATTTCTAGAACGATTGGCTCAAAAATTGCATCCCATTGTCTGTAAAGTTAATGGTAATCCATGTTTAACAAATATTTGAGACATGATGTTGATTATTCTCATTGATGTGGTTGATTTGGTAATGACTGCTTCGAAGCATCAACTATAATAATCTACTGACACGAAAAGAGTAATGGTCCTAGTAAGTCTGCAGCACAATGTTGCCATGGTGCAGAAGGTAGACTTAGAGACCTCCCGTGACAAAGGTTCTGGGTTGGTTGTATGTGACACTAGTTGACATCCATAATAAAACATGCAAAATCTCTCAACTTCGTTTTGACTTCAAGCAACCAACTCTGTCGAATCACTTTTGTATTGTAGCATTTTCAAACAATTCAAGCATAATTTGTTGAATCTCTACTCGGGTATATTTAGGATTGACCTTAGCATAATCATTTGGGAATTCCACCTGGTTTCATTGGCGGGATAAACACGTTTTTCTTCTTCCAGTAAGTCTGTTGCATTGGTGGAATTTCTTACATAATTGACTATATTGATATCTTTTTTTTATCATCATAGTCCCCACTTTATTTGGGGTCATTTGGAATATAAAAGCGGGGGGCACATTCCCTTATATGGATACTGTTGTGTCCAAAATCTGAAGCCTGCCGAACTCTTCTTCTGTGAACATCCAGTGTATTTTGATGCGTTGTGTTAAACTAGTTTGATTCTTCCAGCGTTTTCATGTTACAAATCAGGAATCATTTATTTGAATAAAGTTTGATTAGGAACACTTTCAATCATCCCCAATAGCTATTTCAACTTGCTGTGGGAATGGGGTTGGTTGGTTGGAACGACTGATATTTATGTTATTTTTTTTAAGTGCAAAACAGTGGAATAGTAAATAACTCCACACAATGTGGGGACCCACACATAGCCCTGTCTTTGATCTATAGCATGCACAGATTATAATTACATTATCTAAATACACTTTGATAAAAGCACTGTTTTGTTAAAACTGTTCCTACTATCCCTGGTCTCCCCTACTCGTCAGATGCATGGTTATTTTAGAATCAGGTCAAATTATTGAAGGTGACTACACTGCTGTGACCAGCTATATTATTTTGATTATTTCTGTTAATTGATTATTTGATGTGAAGCATTCAATTCTATAATATTCAGAGAATTATTTTACAGCCAAATATGAAAATTTATAATCGCTAATTGTAAGAAAATTTTAAAATGGCAGCTCTTCATTCTAATGTTTGTTCATTAAATATCTTTTTATTTTTATATACCATAATTAAAGAACAAGGAGATTATTCAGGAAGAACTATAAGGATATACATATCCCTAGTCATGTGACTGTACATGCTGCTTTGCTTTACTGAAGACGCATGGTGGTGTAGTAAACGATAAAAATTTTAAAATTTAAAATAATCATGCAATCATAATATAAGAATGGCTTATGTGGAAGAACAAGCCAACAGTGAGGCTGATGTCCCCCGCCAAAATCCCAAAATAAATAGATGACACACATAATTAATCGCACATTTATTTTTTTTTCAAAAGTATCGAGCAATCAAACTATACACTAAGTTTCATCACTCTCTATCCGAAAGAATCAAGATTATCTTGTCCCAAAGCATCAACCAAAGAATTTGCTTAGCTCTGCTTAGCTTTAGCTCGTAATGTTAATCAATGAACTCAGTCAAGACATTCACCTAATGAACATCTACATGAAGTTTAAACATTCTACCTCAATTAAAAGCAGAGTTGTTATGTTCCAAAGTCTTGACCAATCAAATTGCTTATCGCTCCTTAGCCTAAGCAGAAAATTCGCACCATCGAACTTAGTCAAGGTAATGATATAATTAATCTATCTTCGGAGTTTCATCACTCTCACTTCATTATAACCAAAGTTATCGTGCCCCAAAGCATCAACCAATCAGATTGCTTATCTCTGTTTACCATAAGCAGACAATGTTCATCATCGAACTCAATCAAGGCATTCACCTAATGAACGCCTACACCAAGTTTAAACATTCTACCTCAATTAGAAGGAGAGTTATTTTGTTCCAAAGTCTCGACCAATCAAATTGCTTATTGCTCTGCTTACCCTCAGCAGAAAATGTTCATTATCGAACTTAGTCAAGGTATTGATGTAATAAAGCTATACACCAAGTGTCCTCACTCTCTCTTAATTAGAACTAAAGTTATCGTGTCCCAAAGCATCAACCAATCAAATTGCTTATCTCTGCTTACCCTAAGCAGAAAACTCTCATCTTCGAACTACATCAAGGCATTCACCTAAAAGATACCTACGCCAAGTGTGAACATTCTAATTCAATTGGAATGAGAGTTATTGTGTTCCAAAGTCTCGACCAATCAAATTGCTTATTGCTCTGCTTACCCTGAGAAGAACATGCTCATTATCAAACTTAGTCTAAGTATTGATGTAGTGAAACTATACACAAGTTTCATCACTCTCACTTAATTAGAACTAAAGTTATTGTGTCCCTAAGCATCAACCAATCAAATTGCTTATCTCTGCTTACCCTAAGCAGAAAATGCTCATCTTCGAACTCCATCAAGGCACTGACCTAATAAACACCTATAGCTCAATTAGAAGGAGAGGTATTGTGTTCCAAAGACTCGGTCAATCAAATTGCTTATCGCTCTGCTCACCTTGAGCAGAAAATGCTCATTATCGAACTTAGTCAAGGTATTGATGTAATGAAACTATACTCAGAGTTTCATCACTATCCCTTAAATAGAACTAAAGTTATCGTGTCCCAAAGCATCAAGCAATCAAATTGCTTATCTCTGCTTACCCTAAGCAGAAAACACCAAGTTTGAACATTCTAGCTCAATTAGAAAGGGGGTTATTGTGTCCCTAAAAGTGTGACGGACAGACAGACAGACAGACATACGGACGGACGAACCCATTTAATAGTCCTTACTTTCTTCGAAAGGCGGGGGACAAAAAGAAACAGTATGGTAATTTTCACAAAAAGAAGGACATGTTTTTTTTAGATTATTGGTGATCATGAACATGCATGCAGTATACATGTATTAATGAATGATTATATACGTCTATAATGAAATTGCTTGATAAGGTCATCAGGGGAAAATCTTCTTAGAAAGGACAAATGGGAAGTAACCGCTAGTTTACTAGGTGTGGAGGGGAGGTAACTACCTGAACTATTTGGCCTATGGGGAGTTCTAATTCTATATGACCTTGCGACTCCCTAAAAATAAACAAACAATATATTAACAGCACAGACAACCATTGAACTATAATTAATACACTGAAATGTTTTATCAAGAGACCAAGAAGAATGCCTTGTTTAACAATTTAAAATAAAATTCATACTACATTATATGGTCACGCTAATTTTTTAAATAGGCTATTTGTTAAATATCTAAAATTGTCTCTATGGTCTCTCGAGGCACTCTAATAGCAATTATTTAAAGTTCATTTCATCGTTTGGCAAAAACACTTTAGTATTTTGAAAAAAATAATCACATCAGGAAATGTTTTTGGCAAATGATGTAACAGGGGATACAAGACTATCTGAATCCACTAACATAAACTAACATTCATATTCTTTTATTAATAGGAACCATGGAAACATTTATTAATTTCTTGGTTACAAAATTATCAACTGTAGGGTCAAAATGGACCAATCATTTGATAGTTCTTGTAACCATGACAACTGTTACAAGGAAGATACCTGTACAACTTGCGTCATTGGCAATTCTGTTTCTATTTCATGTTTTGCACCCCTAAAATAAACGTTCGCATTTTACCGAATTCTTAATATTATACATAAACATAGGCGTAGGGGGCCAATTTCAGTTGCGGGGGCTGATGCTATTTGCCTGAAAATCTTCTTTGGCACCCAAATTTTCAGAATGAATCAATCATTAACTAAAACAAGTTTTCCACAAATGTTATTGCATGAGGTCTTAAGTATTATGGTATTCCAAATGTAAACCACGATTGATTTCATTTTACATTTACACAATTATATTTCTATGATATATGGTCTCATTCTCTGAGGTTTCTGTCTGAAAATTGGACCGTTCACCGAATTGGGGGCTAGGTTGGGTGGGGGGAATTGGAGAAATGCAGCACCTCAATCCCCGGCTCCTACGCCTATGTACATAAAGGAAATTATAACAAACTAATAATATGAAAGACTAATTAAGAGCCATTCCACGAGAAAACCATGCAGAATGTTCGAAGGTGGGGGTCGGCCGATTGAGTTCATATTTACAGGGTTTGGTCGACCCATCGAGCATACTCCCCAGCCAAAATTGTCGATTTTAGAAATCAACCGTTTCTGAGATACAGCCCGATTACTTTTTTCGGCTGATTTTCATCATTTTCAGGTCAAATTTTTTGTAGCATTACTATAGCCGTTAATCGACCAATAGCGAACTAAGTTTTGGTTGGTGATTATAGTCCAGGTCTCACCCTGCCATAGTATAATGGTTACCAATGCAACCTCTCTTTCCGTAGGTGTCATGGCACTACACAAAATACATGTCTGCAGACACCTGAATTATACTCTTTCTTCAAATTGCGATAACTCCACTGGAGCAGGGTTTGCGATAAAAAAGAAAATCGTTTTATTTGCAGCTTGACCTGTTCTAACAACATAAAAAATAAAATCATTGTCAGCTAACCCTCAACAGCATGAAAATTTGTGTCGAAAGTTACGAAATTCGTCACTTTTCGCGTTGAATTTCAGTTTGTTAAGTGTTGGAATTTCGCCCGTATATTCCGGGCATGTCCTACGCTATTTTCCAAATGTCCGGCCAGGAATATGCCCACTCGGACATCAAGATATGATGAATAATATTCAGAATTTCAAAATTAATATAGTAAACTGAGTGTATAACTACCACTCATCCCGATAATTGTTGATAATAGACTGGATTGCTTAGGTAACTAAGTGATCAGCGTATTTATCGTATTATACCGTCTATACACCTACGTTGTTTACCTGCTTAATCTGCCTTGCTTGACTGACTTCTTACTTTGTCGGGAAATTCATCAATCTAATATTGAACAGAAGTCATTGCTTCTCTTTTGTCGGACTTTTCTTATTTTGGACGCATTTCTTCATTTGCAGACGTATAAACGAAGACTCGTAATTTTTGGGGAATATTACTGGCGTGAATTTGATTGAAACAGGCGCTGATTGGCAAATTTCATTCTATAGTATTACGAAAACACGTAATTTTGTAGGAATATTCCTGACATAAATTTGAATACCACACGGGAATTAAATATGAATAAGCGGTTGCCATGCAAGATACAACCACATTTTGCAAAAGATGGACAGAGAACAAGCTGAATAAAAAGCGATTTTTCGTACAACCAGTAGCCATCATCCAGTATGTTACAGTCCGACATGCGACAATATCAAAAGGAACCAAGATCTTTGGGATATAAAAGTATATAATATAACCAGGGACCATCATCCAGTATGTTACAGTCCGATATGCGACAATATCAAAAGGAACCAAGATCTTTGGGATTTAAAAGTATATAATATAAAAGTTTCATCAAGTCGAATAAAAATTGTGACATTAAGAGGGACTACATTATCAAAACGTGTTTTTTTGTATATTCAGGGATCATAATTCAGGAAGCTACGATGTGATATGCGCGAATATCGAAAGGAACCAAGATCTTTGGGATATAAACATACATTTTAAGTTTCCTCACAATCGGATAAAAATTGTTTTTCTAGAGTGTCCACAATCTTGGAATTACATACTTTTACACTATTTGCTTATGAGGAGCGGCCATTTTGTCCGGCAGCTTCGCTCCGATTTTCAAGAAATTCGAACTCCACCATCATAAGCGTGTAACGGTGATATATTAAAACGTTTTTAAAAATCGAATAAAAATTGTGACCTCTAGAGGGGCTACAAGCTAAAAATGTGACTTTTTAAACAATTAAGGGCCATAATCCAGGAAGTTAAGATCCGATATGCGAGATATCGAAAGAGAGAGAGAGAGAAATGGGGTTTAACGTCCACTCGACACAAACTAGGTCATGGTTTAATTTATTTCAATAATTCGCTTGCGCGTAGGGGTCTTTAGCAGTGGGAGGAAACCGGAGGACCCGGAGAAAACCCACGAGGTTGGACAGGCGACCCTACTCCTTGCCACGTACAACCGGGGATTCGAAACCATGCCACCCAACCCCCCGAGATATCAAAAGGAACCGAGTTCATTGGGTTATAAACATACCTTTTAAGTTTCATTTTGTTGAAAATAAATAAAAATTGTGACCTGTAGAGTACCCATAAACAAATTGTTGACGGACGGGCGGACAGGGGCAACGACAATATACGTCCACACGAGAATGTGGGCGTACAGAAATTGCGAGGTGTTCCTTTTTTTATTACGTGAGGATTTGAATATTTTGTTGACACATGATTTTTAATTGTGGTATGAATCCGTCTGCTTAAATAATGATAAGAGTTATACCCCTTTATTTTCGGTAAAGTGTCTGACAAGAAAATTTTTGAAATCTCAACTCTAACTGATTTGTTTTTCAATATTTTCGAATGAGATATGGTTTGTTGATAGAGCAACGTGTGAACTTCAAATTGTATCCCTGATGATCTCACAATTGAAGGTCACGGAGAAGACTAAATAGGTGATTTTCATGGAAATTGGGTCTGTTTTGCATAATTGTCGACTTTCATCTGCTCTAACTCGACTATTTTTCAAAATTTTGAATTGAAATTTCTCATTTTTCATAGAAAAAAAATGTTTAAATAATCAGGATCGACATTTTAGATTGAGAATTTGCGAAAATCCATATTCCCTGGGAGACGCCATCTTGTATTTGTAGACTGGATATTAAACCAAACCGATAGACTGAATATTTTGGCAAAGGGGAGCCGGAGTTGATATATTGACCCTTTGAATAACAATATTGGCGATTGGGTACCTGAATTATCCGCCGATGTATCCCAATCAAAACTAAAGTTTTTTGGCAACTTTCGACACGAATTTTCATATTTTTGCAAGTTAGCTGACAACGATTTTATTTCTTATGTTGTTAGAAATAAATTGATTTTAATTTTTATCGCAAATCCTGCTCCAGTGGAGTTATCGCGATCTGAAGATTTCAGGTATCTCCAGACACGTATCTTGTGTAGTCTCCTGACACCTAAGGAAAATGAACTTGAACCGGGTGACCATGATAATGTGATAGGGTAAGACCCCGACTATCACGAACAACCAAAAGCTAGTTAGCCAGGGTCATGCAACAGCGGTAGTAGAGCGATAAAAATAGCTAAAATTTGGCTTAAAAATGACAAAAATCAGCCGAAAAACGTAATCGGCCTGTATCTCGAAAACGGTTGATTTCTGAAATCGGCGATTTTGGCTGGAGAGTAGGCTCGATGGGTCGACCAAACCCTGTGAGTATGAACTCAATCGGCCGACCCCACCTTCGAACATCTGCCCGATATTGCATGGTTTTCTCGTGGAATGGCTCTTAAAACCTAAAATTGAAACAGCAAAATTCACACTGTCTGGGCAGAATCGTAGGTCCCCATAACACTTAATAATTATGTGTTATGATTCTACAAATTTTTACCTAACAGTCTCTCATGTACGGTGTCTTTAAATATGGTATGTCTTGTGCAGATATATCAGCTGGGCCAGAAAAAAACAAGTACACTAATTAAAGTGGGAAAATTAATAAAGTATCGCACCTATATCATAAACGTTTTACATGTGGTTCAATATGAATGTTTGACAACTGCACACTAATTTGCAGGTCAACCGCTCAAATAGTGTTAAAATAATACAAGTTTTAAAAAAGAATCCTGTTTTGCCGACTGAAACGTCACATCACACTCATATCAGTTTACATAAACAAATTGTCAATAAGTCTTCCATCTAGCTTGTAAGCTCGTTTTCGACCCAGAAATCTAATCTCTTATTTCTTCTAAACTTATTTCTGACCATTTTGCTCGAATTGTATCAGTTCTTCAATCAGCAGTCTATGTGAGCGGCGTCCATATTAGTCCAGGCATTTTAACTCAATTTCGCACCATTTCGGGCAGTTGCTGCAATAGAAATGGGTCAAATTGGCAAAAATCCAAAATGGCCGCCAGTTTTGACTGGAAAATGCCAGTTTTAATCCACTTACCATAATATGATTGAGTTTGGTATCAAAATATATCCTTTCGAGGTAGCTGGATCCATTCCCATACACATTTTGGTGATTTGTTATACCGCGGAGTCAATATTGGGAAAAAATTCCAGTTTTGGCGGGAAAATTCGAATTTTACAAAATTACCACATTTGGTGTCAAAATATATGTTTTGGAGGCAGCTGATCTCATTTTCGACATTTTTTTCATCTTGGTAATTAACTGGTTCCCCCGGGTCAAAATAATGGGAAATCCCATTGGAGATTTGGGGATTACGAGTGGTCGAGTCCGCCTCAGATGGCATTCATCAATATGATGGCATTCATCAAGCATCAACTAAATTTCATTTAGACGCTCTGGTCGACCACTGCTCACTACGGAAGCAGCGTAGCAGGCATGCCGAAAGGGGTCACTCGAAAATTGAGCCAAGATAGCCAAACCTATTGAAGCACGTGGCGAATTTATTTCAGAAAATGATTTAAATGTTGAGACACTCCAAATGAAATTTAGTTGATACTGGATGAAAGTCATTGTATTAGGTCTAAGGTAGGAGTATCATTAATCTCCACCCCCTAATCGGAAATCTAAATCCCAAATTGGAATTTCTCCTATATTGACACAGGGAATCGCTTAATCACTAAAATATGTACAAAAATAGATTCAGCTACCTCGAAAACATATATTTTGACACCAAACTTGATCCTTATGTAAAATTCGAATTTTCCCGCCAAAACTGACCACCATCTTGAATAACCCCTAATATTGACTCAGTGGTAACACTTATCACAAAAATGTGTATGGAAATGGATTCAGTTACCCCGAAAACGTATATTTTGATACCAAACTCGATCATATTGTGATAATTGGGTGGAAATTGGAATTTACAAGCCAAAAGCGGTGGCCATTTTGGATTTTGGCCAATTTGACCCATTTGGGCACGGATTTCGGATTGGGACTTTTTTTTTGGTCATAATATAAGTCTAAACGGACCATAAACCGTGATCGGCATTTCTATTGCAGCAACTGCCCGCACTTTTGCTATCTTGCCTGGACTATATTAATGTTTAGCGAAGGTATGGCAGACATTGTCTACACTCTAATCCACTCAATATTTTAGCCCCACGATGTTCTAAAGAGTTGATTACGGGCTTGTTCAAGTGAATACAAGACTAAATAATAATTTATATAACATTTGATGACAGAAAGAAAGACCTGCATGAAATCTCTGGAGGCCCTGTTTGTAGAAGCCAATTGCCCTACGAGAAAGTGATACAATTTTGCATTAACATATAGCAAGGATAAAATCTTTCTTTCATGTCTTGCTTCAACTTCCCACAGAAAAGATATTTCCTCTTACTAGGCACAATTGAATAAACACATCTAATGCTATATTTGTATAGTGTGAGTATATTTCATAGCAAAAAATTTATGTACATTGGCCTTTATAGAATAAGTACAGCAAAGATTGGTCAACTATGCTACAATGTGACCTTAATACGTAGTAGCTCATAAATCGGATGAGAAAATAACTGTCAAACTTACGCCACCACCCATGCATGTTTCATAACTTCCTCTAACTGAAATGAGAATAGAAAATATATACATGTGTAGGTTTACCTAAAATAATGGATTAAATGTTACTCCCAAATTGGAGGGTCTAGAGCACAAGTGATCTAACTACCAACCATTTTAGTTGGTTGTTAGATCACTTGTGCTCTAGACCCTCCAATTATTTAAGCCATGAGATGTTTGCCAAACAAGTTTTGTAACTTTGAAGTATTCCTTTATCCTTTATCAAATGTGTCTTAAGGTTTTCAACAAGTACACATTCGAAATAAATCAAAGCAAGTTTCAGTAAGTAACACTGAGAAGTAGTAATAGTGTAATTTGTACATTTGGGTAAATTTGTATAAATATCGGTAAAATTCTAATTATCGCAACAAATCTAATACGAAGAGGCTAAAATCTGTAGATACGATGTGTTAATTAACAGGGGTGAGACATTGACTGAAAGGTGATTTAATTATGGGGACACCTCACTTTCCCTACATCTATTGTTTAGAGTCTAGGTCCACCCAGCCATGACTAATTAACCAACAAAGAGGGTTTAAGGGGATTTAAAGTATAGTCTGTAACAAGTTTGTAACACTTCAACATAGTAAATAAATAAATAAATAAATACATTTTTATAGTATAAATATTTATAAACAGTTTGATATATAATAAGTACAAATAAATAAATAAATACATTTTTATAGTATAAATATTTATAAACAGTTTGATAAACATGACAATTCACTGTCCAACAAAATTCATAACAGTGTTGATGTATTCAATGGGCGTCTTGGCACCAGTTATTAATAAATTCTTCTCTTCGACGATTCTCTCATCAAGGCGACGGTACTTTCTTCTTTTGGGAGCAAGTCTGCCCCCAGATTCTATTTGTCTGATGGTTAGTTCTACATCTTCCTGTTCAGTCTTAATCAAGTCTAAGAACTTGTATATATTTGGATGGCCCGGACCAAGCTTCTTTAGTTTACTGATAGTGGGAAGTGTTTTCCAGTAACATTAATTAGAGTGAGAAGTTTACACCAGTGATACTAATTAATTAAAACAGATTATAGTCCTACACCCTTGGTCTGCTAACCTCCTTATCCTTTATCAAAACAATCAAATGTGGGGAAAGTGAGGTTAAACCTTAATTATCGCTAGGGGTGAAAATCTTTGCTTTGGTGCATTTTCTGTACTGGATGTGTTAATTAACGAACTGGTTAAAGGTAGGTTGCCAGGCAATGAAACATACGCCCACAGCAGCTAAATCGTCCGGGCAGTCAACAAGAGTTGTCGCATATTTTTAATTTTCGGTAATGAAACATTTATAATACACTAAAATCTGATTATAAATTTAAAGTCAATCGGATATTAACTTTGGCCTCTTGAACGTCCACAAGATTTTTCAAAGTGATCAAGGGCCATAACTCTGGCAGTAATTATCGGAAATTGCTAAAAATCAATAGGCTTCTTCGTCTCATGACCTTAAACACTGTCAATTGGATATTAACTTTGGCCTCTAGAGCGTCCACAAGCAATTGTGGACACCGGACCGACGGACGGACGGACGGGGGCGATGACAATATACGACCACATTTAAATGTGGGCGTATAAAAACGACTGACACGGTGTGTATTCTTTGTTTGGTGAGTTTTCTCGAAAGCGTGTTATAAATGCACCAATGGTGTTTTATCAAGGACCAATAGGCTTTATCTGACGCGCAGGTGTTAAATCCAATTTACCGCGCGATTTCTTGTTCGACCGTGTGTTTTGCGCAGATTGGTCTTTGTTAAGTGTAGGTCTTTATACATGGATTTATACGTGCTGTAGTTACATATGTTCGTTCTTATACGTATTTAATTTCTTGATGAATACTACGTGTTTTATACTTCGTACCATAGTCGAGCTGCAGTTATTTGTATATTTGCCTTTTTTGGGGGTTTAATTTGTTTATATATTATCGTGCATACCTCTGAACTATAAATGCACGTTATTTACCGATATCAGGACCAGCCTCCATTTATAAATATAAAATTGCGCAATTAATGAAAAACTATCGGTTTCGTCATGTCTATATTTACTTCATGTGGGCGTTTTAATGCATAAATGTATTGTTTCTTACCTGGGTTGTAAATAGGACTACAACCCTATTTACGATTGTTTACAATTGTATGAAATAGCTTTATTATTTTTATCCCGGTACTAATAAACTACGGGTCGAGTGGATCCAATTTTTATTATGTAATGTATCTACGTGATGACAGATCGAGAGCACAGGCTCCATGTGTCTATTTATAAAAGCATGCAATCACCTTTGGAAATCAGTTAGTTTCAAGTCTAAAACGACTTAAAAATTTCTTTTGTTATTTCGGACGCTTTATTTGAAAATATTTCCATAATATGCCGTAGTAATTAGGGTTTCACATTGCGTAGCTTGTGTGAAACACTATTGTTTTTGTTAAAATTATTCTTATTATTCTTATTATTTTTTTTTCCAATTTGATTGTACCTCAGAAACTACTTGTCGGATTGATTCGATATCTTCGGTTTTACTATTTCGAACGTTCTGCGACAATGCGAAATGTCCGAAATCGTCGATTTTTGAAATATTGCCGTAATATTAACAATAATTGTCGGATTTTAACATTGGATACATTTTGACATAGCCAGAGACAAGGCACATATCTACGGTTCTTTAGATTTTTGATTTTCCACGAATCGCCGGAGATATTAGGCACCAAATTTTGAAAATTAAAATTTTTACAAAAAACTTTTTTATTTATGAATATTTTTATGTGGTATTTTACCCAGGGTTAAAGAGTCATCTGATTTGACAAAAAATGGTGCCATTTTTGGTCACCGTAATTTTCCTTAGCCCTATTGGCTAATTCAGTTTTTCAGTCCTGGATTAATTATTTATTGCTCAATTTGTATAAAACAAAGTTCATATGCTCCGTGGTCCAAAATGTCATTTTTTTGTTACCGGTAAAGTTACCTTTCGGCAGTGGAAGTGACGTAAATTTAGCAAAAACTACAATTTTGACAGTTCAGTACCACTTTTAGAAGGCAAATATTTTTTTCAAATCTGGTATGACTGAAAGTGTGTGCAATATAAAGGCGCAGAAAACATCGGGCTCAGTTTTTTTAATTTCGATTTCGTTTTCGGGTCGTTTTGATTTAAAGGTGAAAAAATGAGCTATTTACAACCCATTCAGGCTTTCCATATTTTAAAATATTTTTTCGGAACTTTCATAAACTTGTAGCAATAATCCATACGAAGAAAATGTATGTGAAAATTAGTTTGTAATATGAGCAGTTGCCGAGAAATGGGCAATTTTGCATGAGTCACGATTTACGCTAGTTTGCTGCTAAAAGAGTCAATTATTATTGGATTTTCATAAAAGCGACACCATTTGATGCATAATGTCAATTTTAACTAGGTCAAACCGATTTAACATTTTCAATGTCAATGGGCAAAAACTGTATTTATAGCCTTCGAAACAAATAATTTATTCAAATGAGTCGTATTTGTTATTTGTTTAAAATTTTGATATTTGATTCAAATCAACTAAAAGAATGAACCCATACGATCATACAGATATCACAAATTGGTTTCTACCTTGTTCAGTTGCGGAGAATTATTTTCATAAAATTTTCACTTTGTGATACCTAATGCCATTTACGATTTCATTCAAGTAATTTAAAATTTTCATTATCATCGGAAGTAACGTCAATTTGGCAAAAACTGTATTTTTAGCCTTTAAAACAGATATTTTATTCAAATGAGTCTGATTTGTAATGTTTTTAAAATTATGATATTTGATTCCAATCAACAAATAGATTGAACCCATACGATCATACAGATACCAAAAAATGGTTTCTAACTTGTACGGTTGCAGAGAAATAGACGATTTTCTACAAGTCACTGTTCAAGGTTTTTGGTCTATGAAAGTAGCAATTATTATTCGATTTACATAAAATTTTCACCATGTGATGCCTTATGCCATTTATGATTTCATAAAACTAATTTAACATTTTCATTATCACCGGAAGTAATGTAATTTTGTCAGGATCACTTACATGTAACAAATGTATACAATGAATTGATATTGCTTGATTTGGTTGATTCTGCATACATTTTACTTGATGTGTGCAATACTTATATGGAAACCTGTTTAATGGTTTCATCGGTACCGGAAGTGACATATGTTCAAGGGTAACGGTGTACCGGTGAAACCCGTCATTACTGCGTTGCAGTTCTAGTTTGTGATTTTGTTTTTATTGTTAATTCTGTTTAATTGTGAACAGTTCGAAATCTAAATATTTGATAAAAAAAACAGATCTTTGATCGTGGATACGGGTTTAGAATAGTGTTATAGCATGATTTATTTGTTAAAGATCTGTTAATTAGACTACTGTCTTTATAGGGATAGATATTTCTGCAACAACAATTTATTGCTGTAGCGATCAATTTCAAAATTTTCACTATACATGTATTTTAAAGTCATAGTTTTAAACTTAAATAGCTTCATTTGCAATATTTCTGGCCCTGTGGAACTCCTGAGTGAAGAGTAATTTCTGATGACACAGAGCCATTTACAAATACCCGTTGAGTCCGGTCTTGGACATAACTAGACAACCACGTAATTAGCATGCCTGAAACCCCATATTGACTTAATTTGTGTATCAAACCAGGTAAATATACGCGGTCAAACGCTTTAGATATATCGCAAAAAACATAGCAGGAATATAGTTGCTTATCTATTGCAGATGAGATATCATGATAAACTTCTAAAAGTTGATGAACAGTAGAGTAGTTCGGTCGAAACACTGATTGATATTTGTACAAGAGATTGTTTTCATGAAAGTAGTTAAACAGGTGTTTGAAAACTACCTTTTCTAATAATTTACTCAATGTGCTTAATAGGCTTATAGGTCGGTAGTTTGAAGCTAGAGAGCTGTCTCCTTTTTTATAGAAAGGTAGGGCATTTGCTTTTTTCCAGATTGTTGGAAAAACGCCTGATTG